TGCTTTTTTGGATGATTCTTTCCCATAATTAACGTTTGACTGAAACGTATTGGGAATAGCTATTTTACGCTTACAATTGATGAAAGGATGCATGAACTTTGAAAATTTTGAATGAAAAAAAGGAAAATAATTATGCATGATAATATCGTGATTTGAGATCTTGAAACATTTAATTTGAAATATGAATTTTTTTCGGATTTGGTTACAATCACTTATTGATGATGAAATAAAAAAAAGAAATGTGTAAGATTTTTGATTGAATAGTTGTGATCAAAAAAGATAACTATCCAAATTTGTTTTTTTTTTTTTTTTTTTTGGAGTTACCCAACCCTAATTATCTCTTTGAGACGAGTTGGCTCCCTCCGGTATCCCCACGAGCTTCGACTCTTTGAGCCGGCTATGGGACTAATCCGGAGTGCGGGGAACAGTGATGGCTAAAGGTTCAGCCCACTCTTCAAGAATGCATTCAGCGGGAATCGAACACATATCCAACCCCACTAACTCAGCGCCAAATTACCAACTGAGTTGCACCCATTGAGTACTATCCAAATCTGTTTCTATTTGAAAGCAATAAAATAAATATTCTGGAAAAAGAAAAACTAATGTGAAAAATGTGATTTCTAGGAGTTAATGCACCGGTCAACGTGTTTATGAGAGTTATAACAAATTCATGTTGTTTCTATTATGAATGGTCAACAGATGCAGCCAACCTCTAGAATTAGTTGAACAGTTGCTTAAAAACTTGAGAAAATAATTATTAGTTACATATTTTTTAGGATAAACCCACAAAGAATTTTTTTTATAAAAAGCTCAAAAAGATTTGAATTTTGAAGGCCACCTCATTTCACAGTAAATTAATATATAATATTTTTTAAAGAAGGTTATACTTATAATCATATCTTTAACCGTTGATTTTCATCGATCAACGATTATTATTTTCGCAAATTAAATTTATTAATTAATTATTAATTTACAATAAATGATAACCGTTGTTTGGCGAAAATCAACGGTTAAGATATGGTTGTAAGATATTATAAAAAAAAGGTTGTAAGTATAACCTTCCTCGTATTTTTTTGTGTAAAAGTATGTTGTGCTTATTTTTAAGGAGAAGAATATTGTAACAACCAAGTTGTGTTACTACCAAGTTACTACCAATCAATCTCACCGTTAGATTGATTATGTTGATCCAACGGTTATATTTATTTCCATCTTTGTATGGTCATGATTTCTCAAATTTAATACTTTATATTTATTTTCACCTTTGTATGGTTATGATTTCCCATATTAAATGCTTTCACTTTAAATATGGGGAATCATAACCATACAGAGATGAAAATAAATATAACCGTTGGATTAACATAATCGATCTAACGGTCAGATTGATTGGTAGTAACATGGTAGTAACACAACTTGATTGTTACAACATCCTTCCGCTGTTTTTAATGTTGTATGTAACTATAAATTTTGTATAATTTAATGTAAAAAGTATACCTTTTAATTTAAAACATATAAATTTATTCACGGAGACCTGAATTTGTTTCAGAAAACAATAAGAAAAAAAATCATTAAGTTAGTATTTGAATAATAGAACACTCCCATTTTATGATTAAAAAAAATGTTATAAAGCTTGTATAATATGTTCTAAATTACAACGGTTAAAATAAGGTGTAAGTTATTATTCTTGCACGATTGTAAATTGATCCTTTTCAATATATATCAAGTTTCATGATCATCTTCCATGATTGTAATTACACTCTGAATTTTAATTATTTATTTTATTTATATCTAACAATTTTATTTATTTTTAATTATATGCAATTAAATATAATTAGATCAATGACTAATAATGAGGGTATGAGTTCTTATTTTTAATCAATAAAGATATACCAATAATTGAGGATGTAATTGGTCGCATTGAACTGGAAAACATGCTCATGTGAATAGTATGCGATTTTTAATTTTTTTTAAAAAAAATTGGAAGCTAAAAGCTCTTACCGATAGATTTTCATAAAAAGTTACTTTTTCTTTTAATTTTTTTCTTATAATATCCTTGTTGTATAAATAGTTATGAATAAAAAGTTGAAAAAATCATGTCTTTTCATTTGCGAACAATTATGCCTCTTTGTTTGTAAATAGTAGTGTATCTTCGTTTCTGAATAATTGTGCCTCTTCATCGTGTCTCTTGTGACCATTCATCACTTTTTATATATAACTATTCGATAAATTTAAGTAACAAGTTTTTCCTGATTTCTTACCGAAACCCTGTCAAAATTAATCCTCACATATATTATCTTTGTTTTAAGCACCGTTGAATGGGCAAAATTATCTTAAGGACATAGTATTCAATACTGGGTCCGAGTTTAATTTTTTGCAATTTTTGTGCCCTGCATATTGCATTCTATTCTATGCAATTATGTTTCATTGATATCACCATAACCAACAACACATATTTTTGCACTATCACCAATAATAATTCCAAGAGATAAAGCTAAAAACAACTAAGTTAAACCAATAGTTAATTAACTTAAAAACAAAACTTAAAGATAAGAATGCTTAAAATCCATATAAACCCTACATTAAAACCTTATATTTTCAAAAACTTTCCACCATGCTCTATAGTCTCGGTGCCTATGCATGCTGTCACTTGATTGATTGCAATTAAAAGATGTAGTGGAAGACACTAATATCAATTAAGAGCTTTGACTATTATGCATACACAAAAATTTATTTTCATAAATAAATTGAATTCCTATTATTAGCAATTTAAGAATTTTAAAATGTTGATGTTTTCATAAAGGGCAAATGATTTTACGTTTTTTTTTCTATGCATGTTAAGCTTATATTTGATAAAAGCAAGCATGCACTTTAAACAATTTGAATCTAAAAAATAAAAAATACTATGTATGGTATGATAATCGCGTGGTTTGAGATAAGTTTGAATCATTTATTAAGTAACCTGATTCTTCGTTGATGATTATGGATAAATTCTCTAGTTTTCCTTCTTTTTTTTGGAAGTAGTTACTTTATGCTTATTTTGATAAAAGAATGCATGAACTTTGAAAATTTTGAATGAAAAATGAAAATAATTATGCATGATAATCTCGTGATTTGAGATCTTGAAACATTTAATTTGAAAGATGGTTTCCATTTGAGAGTAATGTGTGGATTTGAGTCTTTTAGCAAATTTTTCTTTTATATATGGTGTTATTTCATTTGCTTCTTCATAAGTTGTCACATTGAATAATATCTCACAAATGTAATATGCTGAGTGTATGAAAGACTACTATGTATATATGTTTACAAAAAAAACTAGGAGTTACTAATCTCATTTTATTTGAGATAGTTATTTCATATATGTGAGATAAATATATAGGGTCCACACTTTAAAATAAAATAAAAAATGAAAAAAGTTAGCACAAAATTCGATGAGTGTATAACATATTCTTTTCATGTAATATCTCACAAAGATTTATTCCTCCAACGAAATGAGAAAAATATTTCTTACTCTAGAGTCAAAAAATCACTTTTTATATAAATAAATATATATAATATTTTTGAAAAAAAATGTTTTTTTACTCTCAATTTGTTCTGTTGCCTTTGAAGTGAAAGGATCCTTTAAGAAAAAAATTGACTTGTTTGTAAGTACTGTACCATTTTCTCAAGTTCTTAGGTAGCAATTGTAGCCCAGACCTCGGCACTTTAGCGGTCACCTACTCGTGTTCCCTAAACTATCAAATACCATTTGAGATTATTTTTGCATACCTGTATATGACGTTTTAACAGTATGAAAGGCATTTTTTAACCATAAGGTCCAGAAAGTCCACAATTCCATCCATGCATTGAGAAACGAGAAGACATTAAAATTTCAAAGCAATGGGCCCACTCTCCCACTATGATTAAGATTCCCCAACTATGGCTCAGATGTGAGTTGAAAAGCCATCCCCCAAAACCTTATCTGCATCATAGAGAAAGAAACGTGATTCCTAACCTTTATGTAAATAAGAAGAAAAGGAACTTCAACGGTTACATTGCAAGTCCTTTTCACAACAAAATGAGGTCTACTTTAGCTAATCAAAGAAAAGAGGAGGAATTTATAATTTTCATCGCCAAGCTTGATGAACTTATAAATCCAATAAAAATAGCAAAAATAAGCAATTCTTTGTGCTGCATTTATTGCAAATGAATTTCCATGTCATTTCCTCAGTCCTTTTAAGTTTTAACAACTCTTTTTTTTTTTTTTTTTGAAGCAGCACATAAAATAATAAAAATAAATAAACTTTAGTTAAAGAGAGAAGATGGTCCATTATGGGCTTGGAACCATGTGACCTTGTGGTTGTGAAAGTCTACTTTTTTTTATTTATTTTTAATAAACTATTCAGGTGTAAATTCCTCTCAAAAATAATATTGAAAGGATGAAACTCACACTCTTATTCAATCTGTTTAGCTCTCCTATGTTAACTGAGTTACAAATTAGAAATTCTAACTTTTAAAGGACAAATACACATCCCTTATGCGATCATGGGCTTGGAACCACGTGACATTTGTGAAATTCTACCTTCTTTTTTGGTCGTTGATAAATCATAGATATCACCAGAGACAATTCTATTCGATTTTATTCGTGCGGATTCAGAATTAAGATTTTAAATTCTTCTAAAAAATGATACTAGCATAATCGTATTTAACTCTTATGCGTTAACTGAGATATACATTATGAGAGAGGTTATACTTACTACTTATTTTTCTTACTACATGCTACTACCAAATCTTAACCGTTGATTTCCGTCAATCTAACAGTTGTAATTTATGGGGTCATACTTATTAATTAATTATTAATTTACAATAAATTATAATTGTTAAATTAACGAAAATCAATGATTAAAATTTAGTAGTAACATATAATAGAAAAAATAGATAGTAAGTATAACTTTTCTCTCGTACATTATACTTATAAATACTAACTTTAAAAGGCCAAATACACATCCTCTATATAATTCCATTCCCCAACCACTTTTTTCTTAGCACTAAACCCAGCTAGATCTGCTTCTTGAGTTCACCAAGAAAAAATGGAAGCCCTCATTTCGCAATTCACCTTCCTCTCAGACCAGGCTTTACAAGACAAGAACTTTGATCCTTCCACAATTGAAGATCTTATGAAACTATTCGAGATTGAATCATACAAGGCATGGGCAGCAGCGGAACTTGAGCAAGAGAAAGAGGTGGAAGAAGCAGAGGCTTCCATGCAACAAGCTGAGGACTACCTTGAATCGGTCATGGAAAGTGCCATGGATGAGTTTAGACGCTTTGAAGAAGAGCTTGAGAGAGTGTCACAAGCTGAAATGGACAGCTTAGTTCAAACTGCTGAGAAAGCTAGAAAAATGGGTAACTTGATGGAAAAAGCTGCCTCTATTGCTTCCAAAAAGTATATTGAGTCTGCGTTGAATTCAGCCACTGCTTCCATGAAATCAGCTTGGAAAGGACTCTCTTCTGGCAAGGTTCATCCTTCTTAACAACCCTTTTCTTGATATCAATTCAGGTTAAACCTGCAATAAAAAAAATTCTCCTTTATCCTGTGTTGTTATTTGCACTTCTTACATTGCTGCTTTGGAAAAGTGGGAAATTATATCAGAATTGTACCATAAATTGAGATGCTAAACATTCAGCCAAAAAGTGAAAAGAAAAATAGATCCAATGTTCTCTGTACATGGAAATCCATGACCTTTTTTGGGTGGATCTGATGCAATACAAGGCTTATGGTTCAAGCAGCTTAATCTTGAACATTCAGTTATGTATTTACCCCCTTGTTTCTTACGAGTTAGTATTACTTCTTTGATCCTAGATTAAACTGTTGTCTTTTTGCTTGAATTATCCATATTTCAATTCTAATCTAAAGCATAAGGATGAATAAGTTTTCGTTCTCGAATTTTGCATTTTTTTTCTTTTTTTGAGAACCAAGGGAAGAAAAAGAAGAGAAACAAATACAGATTTTGCAACTGGAGCCATGTGAGTTCTGTTGTGAGTTCTGACTTTGAAGATTTAAGTTCTCTTATTTCAAGAATCGAATTAAACTCAACTATGTTGAATTTTAATATTACTTTCTCCAAAATAAATAAAATTTCATCATCAATTGCTGGAAGATATTTATTTAATTTTAGATGGCAAGATTATTAACTTCGTAAATTCTTATTTAGAAAATTCAGTGGTATTAGAAACTAAATTCTTTGGTTTGTGAGATCAAGGACTGTCCGGTTAGCATGTGTATATATGGTGTGCAACATCATTGAAGACAATTTGGACTCTTCAAGCTGGGAAGTACCTTGCTACTACGGGTGTTCATCAACCAATTTAAACCGCGGTGACCAAATCAAAAAATCAAAAACTGAATAAATCGAAAATCGAAAAATCAAAAACTGAAAAAACTCGCAAATTTTAATTGGATTGGATCAGATTTTGGATTGGATGATGAAAACCGATTCAATCTAAACCGATTCAATATATTAATTTCCTTATACCTACTTGGGTCTTTCCCTACTCATAACCCAAAAATTTCTAAAACCCATTAACCCATCAACTAAACCCAAGAAAAAAATTTAGTCATATTTCATCAACAAAATTTATCTATGAAGAGCTTCACATCTCATTGTCAAAAAAAATTATATTATCGTTTCCTAATACTTTTGTATTTCAAAAAAAAAATTACAAAGTCAATATATACAAAAGATGTTATTTGTAAAATAATCATGAAACAAATTTTAGAATTTTTAAAAAATCGAAAACCGATCCAATTTAAACCGAAAAAAATGGGATCGGATCGGATCGGATTTGAAAAAAATCCAAACTGAATGGATGATTATATGATCAAACCGAAGGAATTGAATCAAATGATTTTTACTTCCAAAATCAATCCAATCCAAACCGCGAACACCCTTACCTAATTGCTACACTTATTGGCAAAACTGGTCTCTCATTCATCGTTCCTCTTGCTCCTCAACCATTGGTGTTACATGAATTATGACCCTTGGACACAATCATGAATTTCAGCGAGGACACTTGAAAAATCTGAATAATATTTATTAGGGGAGCTTAAAATTATTGAGTAATTCGGCAACTTTTACAAATAAGGACAGTAATGATTAAATTGGTTATTCGGTTCAAAATTAATAACTAAAATAAAATAATAATTTCGGTTATTTATTTGATATTTATTTGTGAAATTTTTTTTCATATATATATATATATATACCAAACTTTGGTGGGATATATTATTTAAATAAAGTGAGCGAAAATTTGGTTATGGATTGGAGAGGAAGGGAATGTGATGATTTTGTAAACCCCTTTTCAAGTAAAAAGGGTTTTTAAAATAAAGCCTCTCTGCCTACCAAAAAATAAAAATAAAGCCTCTCTGTTTGATACTTATTCGAGTAAGTGGATAAATTATTCAAGTAACTTATTTATTGGAGTAAGAAAACCTCATACTCGATTAATTCACTTACTTGAATACCAAGTGGTCAAATAATGATAGATTGATCTATAATTAAAAAATGTGGTGAAGTGAATTTTTTAAATAAGGGGATAAAATGGTGAATCAACATATTCCTCTCCATGTAGATTTAACCTCATTCATGTTTCTATTTTGAGCGTCTCCTTACAATCCTATGACACTGAATATTAATATTTTTAAACTTATTCAATTAAAACAGTTGAACATTATGGAGGAGTGAAAATGGGTTTGTTGGAGGATCATGATCACAAGGCCCAAAACTTCCTCCTATTTTATTTTTTTTAAATCTTGAAAATTTCCATATATTTTAAGATTTGTCTCCTTTAAAAATATAAATTTGGTATGTGGCCCCACATGAAAAAAAATTCAAACTCTATCCTTATGATGGAAGGCAGCTCAATTGGTTTTATTACAAAGCTGTGGTTATGTGATGTATCAGATCCTATCCCAATTTGGAGCGCATTTTCACTATTTCGGTGGTATTAAACTGAGTGTGTTTTTTGTAATTTATATTATATATTTTAAAAAATATATAGTGTAAATTACAAAAACTATTTTTTTTCATTCCAGTATAAAAAGCAACTGAGATGACGTCTTTTCATTGGGCCACTGCATGGTATTGTAGATTCCCCCCGGTCATGAGTGTTTGGTTCAGGAGAAATTTTTTTAAAAAAAGTTTGTACAAAATATTACTAGGAAAATTGGGTTAAATATCCTGACGTGTGTTTGGTTGAAAATAAATCTTTGACGGGAAAAATAATGACAATTACGAAATTAACCTTTTAGTAAATATAATGCATTTTCCAACATGTATTGTAGATTCTTTTTGTCGGACATGTGCAGTGAGGTCCTCTTTACAATTTTTTTATCTCCAAGCGGCCAGCTTCATCGCACGAAGCTGAAATAGAAAGAGAGACCATTAGCGTTAAGGCAATGGCAAAGGCTAAAGGTCGAGCCCACGAAACAAAATTAACTGAGAATCATAAAAGGAGAATGCTTATAGAACAGATGCAAGGTGAAAGAAATAAATGGCTCGCGGTAATTAACACAACTTTTAGTCATATTGAAGGTATGCAGTTGATTGACATCCATTGACCTTAGAATATACTTTCGGCTTATATGTTAGGATCATATTGGGGGTATTGACTGGCTTGTCTCTACTATGGTACTAACTCATGCATGGATAAACTTTTATGCAGCTTCATTGTGTCAATAAAAAACAGGGGTAAAGTTGTCATGCCCTTGATCACCTTTTTCAGTTATCCAGTTTTTCAGAACAATTCCACCTGTTTAAATGGCTTTCTCAACAGTGCAGAAACTGGTTTTTTGCTTGTCTTCCTAATTTGCTAGGCAAAGCTCTTTGATGGGAAAATCTACCTAAAAGCTTCAACCAAACATGGTTTCATAAGATTCCTACATGCACTTATCTAGCAAAATTTTCACTTCTCCCCAACCAAACACTACCTTAGGTCTAACAGGACTCTCTCAGAAAAAAGAAGAAGAAGAAGCCTTATTTAATTAGAAAAGGAATATTTTTATTATTAAAATTTTCTACTACCAACTTATTATTTATCTAATCACTCTTGGATCAACATTTTTTCTTTTTTCAAAAACTTTTGAGTATTCTCTCTCTTTGATTCAATGGTGATCAGCAGTAAGAGATTTTGGTAATAAGAATATTCTCCCTCATTTAATTAATATCCATTACAAACTGAAACTATTTAAATTGATTTATCTTATTAAATTTTGGATAGTTTTATTGTTGCTGAGAAGTATTAAGCTGATTTTTCAAACGTCCAACAAAATAATTAAACAAAAAAGCTGATCATACCCACACAAAAAAAAAAAAAATGTTCATGTCTTTGTAGTGGGCTCAAACATCAAGGACACTTGAGAATCCTATAGGGTCCGAAGATCCTACAGTGCAACGACCCGTTTAGAACTTTTACATTTTTTTTTTTGAAAAATTAGTTGTCATTTTAAATTACAGAAAGTTATATCATTTTAAGAGAGATACAGACACAGAAAATTTGAATTTTAAATTAAAAAAAACCACCCACTTTCTCTCCCATGATTTCCATTTTTCTGTGTCTATCTCTCTCTAAAATGACATAACTTATGTCATTTAAAATGACAAACACCAAACTTTTTTTTTTTTTTTGGTTCTTGGGGTTGAACGCCGCGTTTAGAGTTGATAAAAATGAAAAATAGAATTTTACAAAATAAAATAAAAAAAATAAATTGAAAAATAGAAGATGCAGTTTGGTCCATCCTTGCTTCTTTTATCGTCGTCGTCTTCTATCCTGTTAGGGTTTGCAGAGTTTCAATTTACTCTCATAATATCGCAATTCCTCCCTATTTCTCATATTGATAACTCACGAATTCCAATACTATAGCACCCTGGTTCTCTGATAACTGTATTTGAAGATTCCCCTGATATTTTCAGGTGAAATATTGTTCTTTTTTTCCCCCCTTAAAACAAAAAACTGATGCTGCTTTATAGGATCGGATTGGCATGTGAATATTCTACGGAACGATAATCCTTTTGCTGCTTTGATTTTCATGCATTTCAAATTTCATCCATTAATTACCTCTGATATGTTTTGGTTTTGATGATCATATAATAACTTCATAATCAGCTTCATGCACTTTTAAGTAATTATTTTCTTAAACTGATTAATTTGTATTGATGTTTATTTTACAGGGACACATTTTTTTTTTTCTTTTTCTTTTCAAATCTTAAAAAAAAAATCTTAAGATTATTGGGGATCAGGTGATAGGAGATGCCTCGAGACTTGTCGCGATCACGATCGCCTCCCTATAGGCGTAGGCATTCACCATCTCCTGTGGGACACAGGTATAGCAGGAGGAGCAGAAGAGACAGAAGCCGATCTCCGTATTCATCATCCTACTCTTACAGCAGGTGACCCCGTTTGTATGTTTATTTTTATTTTTTTTGTCATATATATCATATTGAGTTAGGATGTTTGGGGACGCATGTTTTATAATTTGCTTTGTATGATTCTGAACCTTATATTTATGGATATTTTGTTGCTGTTTTGTTTTATAATGTAAACTGTACAGTATATGTTACAGGTTTGATGTTCTATGGACATACCAAGGACAATAGATAATTATAATATTTGATATCTAGCAAAATTAGATTTGAACTTGAACTTAAGAATTTGGCAAGGGTTGCGACTTGCGTGACTGGCTTGGGGTTAACTATGAGACAAAATGTGTAAAAGATTGTGTTTAACTGGGATTCTTTCCCTTTACATTATATTCATGTCTTATTGTTATTTAGATGTCAAATAAATTAAAAAAAATATTGATTTTTCTTTGTTGGAGTGTACGTTGGAAAACTGACTATTTTTTTGTTTGGAGAAATGGATATGATACTTTCAGGACTACAGAGCTATTGTATTTTAATGACCAAAACACGTGGGTCAAAGTTGAACCCGGTGGTTGATAATGCTGGTTATTTATGGAATGTTATTTGAATTGAATATCTAATTGGTAGTTTCTTATCATTCGGCTTCTTTGTTGTACGTGTTCAAGTGGACAAGAATGGATGGCTAGATTTCTTTTATTCTGCTGTTTGGATTCTCCTCTTCTGTTTGAGCCACTCAATGAGATGCATACTGTTATGCTGGATGATTGATATTGATAATATTCAAGTATTTGACGACCTTGTCATAATTGGTTATGGTGTTGCTTACTTTATAAGGCTTTTTATTGGGTTTATTTCTTTTGTGGGGTTTCCAATTTGTATGTGGATGCGCGAACTCATTAATAACACATATATAGAGCATAATATAGAGAACGAGATAGGATATATGCTATTCCTAACAAAATAAAAAAAGATTAGTTTCTTACCACAACATGGGAAGTGAGGAATATGAGCAGGTGGTGGGAGCTGATGAGTGTTTTTTCATTGCTCGATTGTGACATTTTCTTCTTCATGTGGTAAAAGATGGAGCACACAATGGTTATTCTTAGCAATTTATGAGGTAACTGTACATGTTTTTATATTTAGTGTGCTACATGGTGGGCAGGCTTTATATTCTCTCGATATAGCTGTTCAGTTGCTGGGGTTCATTGCTTATGATCATCTGTGTCATCATACAGGCGAAAAAGTCGTTCTATTTCGCCAAGAGGCCACAGAAGTCCTTCTACCACTCCAAGGCGTCGTAAAAGTCGATCTCCAACTGCAAAACGGTACAGAAGACATAGAAGTAGGAGTTCCTCATTGTCTCCTACTCATAAATCATCCAGTTCAAGCCTTGGGTCAATAGAGCATAAAACTGCCATTGAAAAACAAAAGAAAGAAGAAGAGAAGAAAAGGTAGTTTAATTGCTTATCATTTTGCTCTAACTCTATCTTTTCTTCACTTTTCCTTGAGTTATGCTTTAAGATGGAAATCATGATTTACTAATGGGTAGGTGCCTTTGGTTTATGATGAGAATTTCAGTATTTACTGCGTAACTTATAATTTATTGCTATAACTTTAGAATATTGATGTTATCAAATCAAATGTGCATATCTCTTGTACAAAAAATGTGCATATTATCAGTGAGACACAGACTGCCTGTAAAATTAGGAAAGGAAAGCTATTATGGTAAACCTTTGTTATTGTTTTCCAATTCTTTGGTGATATAGGTCTTATCAAATTTTGCAACTACCATATTTCTATTTCAAATATTGGCATACGCTACTTTCCACTGGTCTAATAATGTTATGGTATCTATTGATTTATTATTATGCTTATTTTCATGTTGCATAGAACATGTTGGATATGATTCGGGACATTTGCATTTGTGAATACAAAACTTTCCTTGTTTTTGTTGTTATCTATCAGCTAAGGGGTATTGCATTAGATGTTAGTTTTTCCTCTTTCTCTCTCTCCACATGCTACCTAAGCCTTATAATATGACCATAATGGTTTTTTGCCTAGTTAATGATTCTCTTGTCTTTAAAGAAAAGAAATTGATAATTATATAAAAGAATAGGATATTGCTTCTTGTTAGAATATATGAAAAATATTGTATCATGTTATGATTATAACTTCAAATAGTATAGTGTCTTAGATAATCTCTAAAGATTGGTTTTCATATTTCCTTATATTTCATGGTTTGTTTCCTTATTTTAGGAGTCTATTATTAGTATAAATATGGATTAGTGCTTTGTAGCATGTCTCACACCCTTCTCAATAATATCAATATAATTTTAGTATTATGAATATTCATTTTTCTACTTGCATACGTAAATTTCTATCACTTCAACATGATATCAGAGCGGTGCCATCCTTCGAGACTTATCATGTCTTTATTCTGCAGCCGAGTTCCTCGAAATCAAGAGCTTTACTTTAGTGTCATAATTATTTCCTTCCTTTAGAATTACTGAACCCAGTCCACTGCCGTCCACATCCTAGAAACCCGTTGTTGTTCGCCGCACCGTCAACTTTTCACTCTCCATTGTCATGTCGTCATTCTGACAGCCAGCCGCATGTTTGGATCCTCTCTTTTTTAATTATAAGCCATAGCTGAAAAAAAGAGCTTAAAAAAAAAAACTAAAAGTTGTTTTGTAATTACATCAATTTTTTAGCTTAAAAATGCATATTTCAAAAAAACTTTCTATGTATCTCTATAGCTCTTCATTTAAAAAAAAAACACACAATTCAAGAAAAGCAAATAAAGCCTTTAAAAAAAGCTCCTCCTAGGAGCTTTTAGCTTTTTTCTTCATTATAAAAAAAGAGTTTTTCCTTATAAGAATTTTTCTCAAAACCTATTTGGCCTAGCTTATGTTTATAAGTAGCTTCTAGCTTAAAAAAAGAGAGGATCCAAACAGGCATTTAGTTGTTTCCCTCCATCAGAAACAATGTGGATGAACAACTCTGGCTGAGCATCGAGCTTGCTCTTGTTTGTCAGGCCCTCGAGCCAAGTAGGACCCAACGCCCAACTGTCCTATGATGGTCAGATCAGCATCAGCAGCCAAGGCTTCCATGAATTCCTTGGTTACGGACCTTGCAATAATACCCATGTTGTTCACAAATCAGCCGTAGTCATGCCAATACTAATGTCGATGATAGACAATGTGTTGTTCGCTTGTCCGGAACAATAATTTCCCCCCTCTATACCTAAATCCTTATAATTCATACACGACTTTTTTCCATTGCATAGCTTATGAGGCATAGCGTGTCTCTGTATCCTTTGTGGGTTCCAGCAGTAGCACATGCTTTCTGCAAGGGACTTCTCTTATGAATTTGCAAAGTGATTGGAAGCTGTCCTAATCTAATGTTTTCCTAATTCTTTTCCAAAGCTTTACTGTTTTGTTTGTTTTAGGAGGATTTCTTATCCTCCTTGGCTTTTCCTTTTAAATTTCTTATTTCATGACAAATAAAAATGTACATTGCATCTCTCTCTCTCTCTCTCTCCCCGTTACTTATGAGCTGGATTCTGGATCTGGACCATATTCTAGGTAGTAAGTAAGAAACCCTAGCAATGATTTCATGTCTCATAATTTATTATTTTTTCTACCAGCTGAGCATAGTTGAACCGGTATCTTCCCTGGTCTTTACCTGGAGGCTGCTGTTGTGTGGTGGGGGTTTGATCCCCTAGATCCCCTTTTCCCATTCCTCCTTAGGTCTAATAGGGCCTCCCTAAAATCCAAAAAATATATTTGATTGGTAGTCTTGGAAACTGAAAAAGTCTCATCCATCCTAATTGTTGATCAAGGTTCTTCTTCATCATCCCTGGGAGATAGAAAAGGAGATTGAGCTATAGCTATATTTGATTTATGTTATTATTTTAACACTGTCAGAGCCCAATTACTAAAATATGTTGCATTTATTGTCCTTAAAATTTTTTTACAGCATTGATCCCATCTCTTGACATGTTGCCACTTTTATGGTGCTTATTTGTTCAGGGCTTGAGGGTTAGATTATCTAGTCATATACACTGCACTTTCAAAGTAAATTAGATCTTCAGAACCATACTCTCTCTCTCTCTCTCTATCTGCATTGGTAGTTCATCAATTTACTGGCTGGATGCCCTAGATTTGCATTTCTTTTTCTTTTTGTTTTCAACCAGCATATATCACTTGTAAGGAGCAATATGAATAGTTGAGAAGATTTTTTTTTTGAGAGAATTACAAGAAAAGAACTGCTGTTAAAATTATTTACCATAAATGGAGAAAATCACTTGAAGTGGTTATTTTGTATACAAAAAAGGGCACATTGTTTCCCAAACTTATACCTATGGCCTTCTGATCACAAAGAGCAACCTTACTATTGCTCCAAGGTTTGGCCTCTGGTTATTTTGTATGTGTGTTAGCTAAATACCCACTGATTGATGATTGTTTCTTATGGTGAATATTTTTATTAACTTTTCCTTTCTTGTCCCCATTTGATGGGTTGGAGCTGTGGAGGGAATTAGGAAGACGATAAGTGGATACGGAGTTAGTTTTTATAGTGACAGTGCGATACCCAGTCAGAAAGATTGACCTGATCCTGTGACCCACCTTAAAGGGTCTAGGCATCAGGTTAACGAACTAGATTGTCTCCAAATTTGAATATTTGGGTCCTGGCTGATTCTTTAGATGTAAAGTATATTCCTTGTTGCATTTCATTTGTAGTTTAGACTTGGCATTTTATCAGTGTAAATTTCTAACACTACACAGTAAATATGGTTTTTTTCCCCCTTTATTTTTTTATTTGAGGTGGATTGTATGGTTTTTTTTTTTAATTACTTTGATGCTTTTGGCACTTAACTAACAAAAGAACTTGACCTATTTTACAACAACTAATTTGTCGAAGATGTTTAGTGTAAAATTCTAGTATTTCCGTGATTAGTTTAAAACTGCAGCAGGTTACTTGAATTTCTTCTCCACAGGCTTGTCTGAAGGAAGGTACTGCTATAATTCCACTTGTAATGTTTGATGATCAAATTGGCTGCCTCATTTATCTACTGTTCACCAGTTTTGAAACTCATTTGTTTGGATCAGGATTCAATAGAGGTATGCCTTAAAAGCATAACCATTTTTTAGTGCCTTTGTCACCATGGAGGTTAGTTTGGCGTTGATTGTGGTTTTCTATCTCAAGTAGTTTAGGACAGGGTAAAAAGAAAAGGGGAGAATAAAAAGGGGGAGAAAAAAAATGAAGCAGACATGTCTATTGTCCAGTTTATTTGTTAGTTGTCTACGATAAAAAAAACATTGCGTCCATTTGTGTGTGGCATTTCTCCTTGTTCAAGTGGCCATTTTCCTGCTTAACATTCTGTTATGTTTTCACAGGCGTCAACAGGAAGCAGAGTTGAAATTAATAGAAGAAGAGACTACTAAAAGAGTTGAAGAAGCAATTCGTAAGAGAGTTGAAGAAAGCTTGAATTCTGAGGAGGTTCGGGTGGAAATTGAAAGGAGGTTGGAAGAGGGACGAAAGAGACTTAGTGATGAAGTTGCAGCTCAACTTGAAAAGGAAAAAGAAGCTGCTCTTATTGAGGCTAGACAGAAGGAGGTATATGTTTCAAATCACTCTATACTCTAATTCATTCTCTTTCTTTTGTGGCAGGCATATGAATATCATGCTCTTTTCATTTGACAAATCTTTGGAGGAAAATCAAATTTGAAATTTATTTATATGATTCCTTTAATCCTTCAATTTGTGAATTTGTTGATTTTATTGGGGTATGGCTTTACCTTAAGGCTATTTACGTCTTAATGTATCTTACGTTCTTGGCAAAACAAGTTCAATAGGTATCATTTGAGGGTCTGGTTTAATATTTTAATTATTTTGATTCTCATAGAGAAGTTGAAAAAAAAGAAAGAAAAAAAACTAGTTTTAGTCAGGCATTCAAGACTTCCACTTGCAGTTTCTGTGTTTGCTGTGCGCTTCTTGCGTGCACGTGTACTTATTTTCCCAGGACTAATCCTGAAGCCATTGGAAAACCTTATTAGATTACTTATTTTGATTACTTATTTTGATCTGCAGGAACAAGCTCGGAAAGAGAAAGAAAATCTTGAAAGGATGCTTGAGGAGAACCGGCGGAAGATTGAAGAAGCACAGAGAAGGGAAGCTTTAGAGCAGCAAAGGAGGGAGGAGGAACGATATAGAGAGCTAGAAGAGGTACAGAGACAGAAAGAAGAGGCCATGCGTAGGAAGAAACAGGAGGAGGAGCAAGAACGTTTAAACCAAATAAAGTTGTTGGGTAAAAACAAATCCCGACCAAAATTGTCATTTGCTCTTGGATCGAAATAACCCTTGGGTAACCTTTGTCTATTTGTTTGATCTAAAGCGTTTGGGCTTGATTCCGTATTTGCATCTGTAATTTGAGGAAATTACGTAGCCTCCTCAGCTTTAGTTTGACAGGGTTTTAACTGTTCCCAGTTTGCATTAGATTTCTTTTTCTTTTTTTTCATGTCCAATTAATTATCCACTTGATTTTCCATGTGTCCATGGCTATCATATTTTTGCTGTGAAATCATCCTCACTTAAGCAGTGACTTGTGAGCGAGAGCAGCGTTAAGGCCTCGAGGGAGAGGAGACGAGCTTTAAGAGATGAGAAATACTAAGACAATTTGATTCATTCCTGTGATCAAGGCAGAGGCAGAAAATTTTAAAAGGGGAACGAAGTTATAACTGTTTTTTTTTCTTCTTAATTTATCATTATATACATAATAAAAGAGTATATAGTTCTTAGAATTAAGTTATATATGACTATATGAGGATTGGAGGAGCGATCTAGTGGTGTTAACGGACCGAGTCGGGCTAAGTTTTGATCTTAAAATGTTCCGTCTGTATTTAAATGTGTCAGTCTGGCCTGGCCTATTCTGTTACCTCTTATGAATATAATTATCAGCTTGTGACTTGACTTATTTATAAAAAATAGAAGTATGGTTTAGCCTCTTAAAAAAATAAGATAATAAAAATTTATCTAAACAGAATATATGATCAACAAGATTAATAATTTTACAAAGATTCATAAATTCAATGTATATTCAAACAACATAATATATAATAAAATTATTCAAAAAATTTATTTAACCAATAAAATGGGGTGAAATAAGTTGAGGAGAGAGATGATTATTATGAGTAGTATAAAAAATATAAAATAAAAATAAAAGTTAGTATACTAGACCAGTCTGAGAGGCTCTAAGGTCGGATTTCTGAATTGGAACCTGATGCCTTTTTATTAAATGAACTTTTATATAAGTTCAAGCCTGGTTCTATCAACCAATTTTAAACATGCATGCCCAGACTTTCATGAACAGGGTCAAAGGCCCTTGGTTCATTTAACATCCTAGAGCCCCTGGTTCATTTAGCATCCTTAGAGCGATCACTATTTATATAATAAAAAAATAGAAATAAAAGGTAATATTTACAATTAAGGACTTGAATGAGTTCGTGGCTAATTGATCGCTCATCTTAATCTCTGCCATTACGCCACTGACTTCGAGTTCATTGGGCTTATATTAGAAATTAATTACGTTACAGACTGTAGGCTTTGCAGGCGGGAACAGAATATAACGTGCCGGAATTTTTACTTTCAACTACGTTCTCATACTACAGATTTGGTATAATTTTAAGTTTTTTTTTTTTTTAAATGGAAAAAATGTAAAGTCATAGGGTTCAATCATCACTTTGTAACAGTTATACATTTTGAAATATTTTTGAGTATCAACCTCAACTTAAAGTACAAAGTTGTGACCTTATGATTTGTTAATTTTTTAAAAATATTATTAACATGAAGTTGTATTAGTTGAACTTTTTAAATTGTTTTAAGTGAAGTCGTGGATGAAAACAATAAATTGACCACGATTAACATGAAGAATATAATTTTTCTTTATTTAATTCAATTCTTAATTTATTTATCGTAAATACAACTTCACCTTAATAATTAAAAAAATAAATTAATCTCAACTCATGAGTCAAATAATTAAATAAAATATTAAAAAATTAACTCTATTTTAACTTATGTTTGGTGTCTATGATTATAGTAAGAATATTTTAAAAAATTACTATAAAGTTATTATTGATATCTAATCTTTTTTTTTTTGTGTTTTCACACTATTTTAAGAAAAGAATTTCAAATTACACTACATTGGTAATATTACAATGAAGTTGTACGAAGTAAAAAAGCCTTAATTAAGTTCTTGTTTGCTATTGGAAGAAGAAGAAAAAGGAAAAAGTTCATGTTTGCTTCGTCTTCTCTTGTTTGGAGATAGATGCAAGGGCACCCTGTTCGATTTGCTTTCTTGCCCCCATCATATTGAATCAAGTTTCAGATTTTATAAAAGGGAAAACTTAATTTTCAACCAATGTAGTTTTATAATTTATCGCTTGACCCCTTATCTTGTGATTATAAATTTGTCATTGAAATAATTTATCATTCAACACGCATGTACTGCTAACGCGTCTAAACTCACATGTGCATCTCTTGTGAAAGACTTGGGGCTAACATATGCATATCTTCTTATTGTCGCCATGCAGCAGCCAGCATATGTATGGTGCACAACTCCATGCACACACACATCTGAAGTGCGTCTTCTTACATTAGATTATTATTACATTTAAATTAGATCAATAATATATTTGTTAGAAAGAATATATCTTTTGTATATCTGTAAATATTTATTTCCTTATTCCATGTTAAATTAAATTACAAGAGAAGAAAGAAACAGTGAAATAAAGAACTGATACAAGATGTATAATATATAGACACACTAATGGGCTTAGCCCAGACCTAATACAAATTCTAATGAAATAAGAAAATAAATATTTACAGATATACAAAAGATATATTCTTTTTAACAATATTTAACCAACAAACTAAATTATAAAATATATTAAAAATTACATTGGTACGGTCAAAAACCCCTTGAGGGGGCGTTTGGTACACGTGAAATTTTTTTTTTACCATGAAAATGTAATTATCAGGAATCTGCAGGGAAAGTGGGTTAGGTAGGAAAATTAAAAAAAAGTTGTTTGATTGAGTAAATATTACCAGACAAATTGATTAAAGTTTTTGAAGTCTATATTTGGTTGAGGATAGAATATTGAGGGGTAAATGGTATAAAATTACAAAAGTAATCCCTTATTAATTTTTTAATATCAATACAAATATTTTTAATATCATTACAAAAGTAACTCATAATAGTAAGGTAATTCAGTCAAATCCTTCATTTTATGTATCCTATTTGCCTAGTTATCATACAATACCACTTTCAAAGTGGCATTGTTGGTCTGTGTTTATTGTTACTTTTTGCAAAGAATTGTAGAAGGATAGCCATAGCCAAATGAGTTGGCTGGGAAATTTTTAAAAAACGTTGAACCAAACATTCTATTCATAAAATACCAATATGTAATGCATGCGGTTTTGATAAGAAAACCCAAAGCAAACACCGGTGAAAGTAGAGCGTAGAGAGAAGTGGGTAAAGAAATTAAAATAGGGGAAGTGAAAGAGTGTTTTGTAGAAATCCTTGGTTTCAGATTATCTGTGTAGTGTGGCTGACAAAGAGACTTGTCAGAACAGAAAACTTTTGATGTACCACATCTATCATCATTAACACATAATTGCTGTGACCAGTTTACCCTGACATTCCTAACCAACCAAAAACAGCCACGTCATGAGACAACGTACGTGGATCATATTTTGAAACTCCGGGCCCCCCCACAATGTGGCCAACAGTGACAGTAGATGCATAGCATTCAATACAACATCGTTCTGCCCAATGCTGTCGTCTCACGTGGGTCAGTCTTGTCCGTCCAATGTCGTTGACCTTAAGTCTAACCACGGGATGGAGTGGAGGCTGTCATGTATTTATTGACCTGACACCACTGTCTCTACCCTATTTGCGGAGAGATTTTTATATATACTATGAATTTTATACGAGTTATATTGTAGAAAAATTAATTGTGTAATGTTATAGAGATTCGTTTTACATATATTAATTTTTTTTTTTTTTTGCTTCAAAAAATATAGGTCCCACAAAATATTATGTGTGTAAAAAATTTATTAGTGACACGTGACATAATAGATACAAACCCCATATACTATACATGTAATAGCAATTTCTTAAACTACATTGTTTAGTGTGTCGAGAAACCTATATCAATTATTATTATTATCATTTACTTTAAATTTGTCTTTCTCTATGTTAATTCACGTGGCATAAATTCAGAGATACGGTATAAAAATATCATCCTAAATTCACATTTATATAATAAATCACAATATTTACTCTTTAGAATTTTATCAAACATATGATTTTTAACTTTAAATCATCAGTCATTTTTTTAATTTAGTTATTAATTTATTATTTATATATTTATTATATTTAAATACAAATTAAATAACTAAATATCGAATTTAATAGATGACATTTTATAAATATTAAATATTTTCATAAACTAATCTTTATATTTAAAATAAAATGTACTATTTCAAAATTAATTTAATCTCTTATTGTATTTTATTTAAAAAATAATATATATATATGATCTTTAACTTCTATTTGTCAAATATTTTAAATTTAATTTATTTTAAATATAAATTTTTTTTTGTAACTTTAAACATCTTTTGCCTTTTAGTTAATGTTTTTAAAACTTTATCTAAATTAAATATGTAGATCTTTCTTATAATTTTAAGTATTTTAAATTTTTATTAAATTTAAAAAAACTCCTACGAAATATTTATTATTTGAATATATCTATGAATCTCGTATTTGCAAACGCGCTGAAATGAACGTGTTGGTGAGGGGGAACAAATGTGATGCCTGAATACAGAGCGCAATGAATGATTTTCTCTGCATATGATGGTTTGAGAGGTCGACATCTACTATTAATTGAGATTTCATTTTTAAAAAATAAAAATAAATAAATAAATGTATATGTAGTGTTTGAACTTTATCTTATTTTAAAACAGTCCTTTAAAATTTCAAATTTAAGATAGAGAACTTTTAAATTAGATCATACATTTAAGATTTTAATATAAATTGAGAGAAAAAGGAATTCATCAACAACATTCTTAAATTTGAAAGTGAAATTTATGGTTAAAAACACATATATTTGTATATAAATTTAAGGACTACTAAGATTAGTTTTAAGCAAAACATAAAACTACTATATAGAATATTATTAGTAATGAAAATAATTATTTGTATTATTGGTTCAATCCTTTTGGTTTAGTATCAAAAGATTCAAAACATTGTCTTGAAGTTATACAGAACTTGTCACGGAAGAACCTACAGATTTGACAGAACTTTTAAGCTAGGAAGCTTTTTCAATATGAATTTTTTTTTTTATACAACTACTGTTTTTTATATCATAATTTTCTTTATGTGATTCAAAACACTATTGGATCAATGACGCACAAACCACATATTTATCTTTTATGCCTAATCAAAACTTGCATACTAGGACGATAATATCGTGAAAATTAGCA